TTCTTGAGAATCTTAATCAGACTTAAAGTCTTCTACCATTTGCTCTGTCAACTCTGTTCCTTAGCTATTCTTGATTTATTAATAGAGTTTAATGTCTATCTATGATTTTATTTTCTCAACTGCTTGGTGATTTGGGGCTGCCAGCTTATCTTTACATTAGATGGTCTTGGTTCACTTGCTTGGAGATGTTTGTTTGCCAAAGTTTGCTGCCAGAGACTATAGGAGAGGGAAAATAATTGTGGCAATTATATGTGCCAGTACCTTATACTGAAGGTATATTCATCATTTCTCCTGGAAACTTCAGAACTGCTCTCCTCTTTGGTGTCAACGTCCATACTAGTTTCTTTAGTTTGGGAGCAAATACTATAGAGTCCCTGTGCTCTGCACAAGCAGCAGAGGGTAAAGGAGATGAACAGTGTAGTTGCTCTGAAAGCAGTCCCCTACATGCTTTTTTCCTTCTAAAGCTTTCTCCCATTTCCATATCAGTGAGGGATGCTTACGGAAACATCATTAACTCCGTAGCATCTTCTTTGCATGTATTAGCTGTGTTTTCATCTAAACAGCAATCCATAGTTTTACATGTTATAAAATCTTTTATCCATAACATTATGGATTTTTGGATTTTTTGGCCTCATGGAATTTTGGATGGAAGAGTCATACATGTCTGCTTAGTTCACTCTTTTGATAAAGTCACTCTTCCCTTTTGCAAAGCCTCTTTCTGTTTCTTTTGGGGAGCTATTCATCCTGACACTCATTCAGTATGGCTGCTTGGGTCTTCTAGTAGCATGACTCCACTCCTCTGGCCACGGTGGTTAATTGAGAGTGGACACATGGCACAAGCATAGCTAATAATGTCAACAATGTGAGAAGGAATGTTCCTTTCTCCTGGAGTTGCTAAACTGGAGCTGCCTCTGTCATATCTCCCACCAGTTGGAGGAAAGACTGTGTGCAGTAGAGGGCAATGAGACCAAAACAAAAAGAATCAGAGAAAAGTGATGAAAAAGGTCTAAGAGACATGAGAATTGAGATATATGCATGCATACACACATTCACATGTTCACATCGTTTGACTACTTAGAGTCGATTAACCTTAGTCCAGCTCATTTTCTATTTACCACTTTGTGATCAAGTAATAGATCTGTTTCTTTCTTTCTTTTTTTTTTTTTTTTTAATTGTATGAACTATTTTGAGTGGGATTTCTTTCTTGGTGCCGAAAGAACACTGCCTAACTCATTCACAACCTTTAGATTTTCTCTTAGGATTTTATTTGTTCTTAGAAACTTCTATAAACCTATAAAGGTTAGATGTTCCTCTTTGTCTTCTATTTGTTCCCATAGGATCATAACATTTTGGGTTTTACACTATAATTACTTAATCACCTTTCTCCTCTCATTAGACAGCCAACTCCTTGAGGACAAGAATTGTTGCTTATCATTGTGTATTCCTGGAAGTTAACAAAACCTACAGTGTAATAGGGACCTAGTAACATATGTTAATGAATAAATAAATAATTTTATAGTTGAATAAATAAATAATTTTGTAGTTGTATCATCTCATATTAATAGATGCCGGGTGGTAGATACCTGACTAGAACAATGACTTTGGATATCTGCTATGAGGTTTTGATCATCGCCATTGTTAATATCTGATAGTGTTCTTTGTGTGCAATTTTATTTTATTTTATTTTATTTTTTTAAAGATTTTATTTATTCATTTGACAGAGAGAGATCACAAGTAGGCAGAGAGGCAGACAGAGAGAGAGAGAGGAGGAAGCAGGCTCCCCACCAAGGAGAGAGCCCGATGCGGGGCTCGATCCCAGGACCCTGGGATCATGACCTGAGCCGAAGGCAGAGGCTTTAACCCTCTGAGCCACCCAGGCGCCCCCTTTATGTGCAATTTTAAATGTTTCATGTAGTTTTTAGGTAACAAAAGCAGAGAACATAACAGTTTCCAGGTTTCTTGCTGGGTGGGGCCTTAGGCTAAAGAAAATACATATCCCCAAAGGGGATTCTGATTCCCTTACAATTCTTGTGTCAGAGTATCTGGGTTAATTGCATTGTCAAAACTAGACTTGGAGAGCTCCTGGCTTACGGGACTAAAAGGGAGTCCTCATCTTTTTATTTATTTAGTTAGTTTCTATCCTTTTTGTTTGTTTATTTATATTTAAATTTTAGTGAACAAACAGTGCAAATTGGTTTCAGGAGTAGAAATCAGTGACTCATCTCTTTAAATAGTGAGTGAATCTCATATACTGCATCCTCTCAGGAGGCCACAACTATGGGAATTTGCTACTTCCATTCTGTCATTATCCTAGCTCAATCAGATTGCTTACTGCCTTTCAACATATATGATCTGTGAACCACCAAATGAACTACAAAACATGCCACTAATAGAACTGTATCTATTAGAAATGTTTCTAGACTATGAAGCATCTCAAGTCAAGGATTATGATTTTACTGAAAATATGTTTCAATGATCTAAGCATAACATGAAATTTCTTGGAAAAGGTGAATAGACACAGCCAGAAATGATCACTAAATTCCAAAACAAAAAGATGATTTTTTTAAACTAAAACCCAAGAAAAGTATGAATATAGTTTACTCATGTTCTTTTCATGATGGAAATTAATATTTAGTAATTATTTTTAGAGGGGATTTATATGTTTTATTATAACCATCTATCAATAATTAAGAAAGAAACTAAATTTTGCTAGTGTTCTTTAATTTGAACACTAGCCTGAGAGCTAAACTTGAAACATTTATGCAATTGTTGTGTGGACCTTATTTGGTCCCAGAGCACTGAAGTCAGCATGAATAATCACATTAGCGGGGCAGACCTCTGCCTCCTCTATGAAAGGTTGTTAATTAAAAAACATATTTGTACCAAGGGTTATCAGACACTTCTACAATGCCATTAAATATTATAGTATAATATCTGCTTTGGTTAATCCTTTAAAGTACCATGAGTGGTCTAATACTTGAAGACCCAATATCCATTCACTAAAGATTTTTTTTTATAGTTCTGGTCAGCGTGGAGAAAATACAAAAGACAAAGGAAAATAAAGGCACCAATCCTAGTCTACTTTCTCCATGTTATCTTTCCCTAAGCATAAATGTCACCTAAATATATCCTTACAACAAAGAAGAAAGGCATGATTGTGTAACTAACAAAGGGAAAAGGGAGTTCTTTATAAAATTTTTTCTTGATGATTTTAAATATCTGCTTATGCTGCTGTTAAAACCATTATCATTTTCCCAAAGTTTTGCTGAATAGATGAGATAGGGTTTTATTCCAAACTGATCATTACTGCAACTCTGCTGCACTAATGATGTAATTCTCCAATGGAAATGTTTTCAGTAAAACTCTATCAAGTGACACATAATTTAAGATACAGTATGAGGAGGGGCGCCTGGATGGCTCAGTGGGTTAAAGCCTCTGCCCTGGCTCAGGTCACAATCCCAGGACCCTGGGATCAAGCCCGGCAGTGGGCTCTCTGCTCAGCGGGGAGCCTGCTTCCCTTCCTCTCTCTGCCTGCCTCTCTGTCTACTTGTAATCTCTGTCAAATAAATAAATAAAATCTTAAAAAAAAAAAAGATATAGTGTGAGGAGAACACAAAGAAGAAATTTTTTTTTTAAAAATTATTTATTTATTTATTTGACAGAGAGATCACAAGTAGGCAGAGAGGCAGGCAGAGGGAGGGGAGAAGCAGGCTCCCTGCTGAGCAGAGACCCAGATGCAGGGCTCAATCCCAGGACCCTGAGATCATGACCTGAGCTGAAGGCAGAGGCTTAACCCACTGAGCCACCCAGTTGCCCCACAAAGAAGAAATTTTAAGGAAAGTCAAAGGCAAGAAGGGCTCCTTGTTTTCCTTCAATTCACTTAAAAGGCCAGCATTAGAAAAAGTACCCACATGGAGGATGATTAACAGTGACTTAGGTGTTTATGAAATAAGCACTTTATAAACTTCAGAAAAACAACACTCTGGCAGACAAAAAAGTTTGCACATTCCACTTGGTGCTTAATATCCAGAAAATTAAAAAGATCATGTAAATATACCATATTCACTCTTTATTTGTGACCAGGGCCTCTTCTATGTCTGGTACTTCTGGGCAACATTACCTTCTCCAGTAGTTGACAACAAAAGGAGCACTTTTTATGGCATCTTTAGCCTCCTTAAGATGTTTTCTTACCCAGGATTTATTTATAGCAATCATGAGTTTGTAATTAATATGTAAAGCTGTTCCAAGGTATCTTTAGGTAGATAATTTTTTATAGACATGCCATTGTATTCAATGTCACTGAATCACTTACATAGTATCAACTGAGGGGCCACTATGGTGCATTATACTTGACGCTTTGGTAGAAAAACAGTGCCTCATCCTTGCCTTCAAGGAAATTACAGTTGAATTGTGTTGACTATTTTAATCCACAAAAAAATAATTTAAAAAAGTGTGTAGCATAGTGCATCATTATGTGCTTATTGGTGTAATAAGAGTACCCAGTATTCAGCAGAAAAAGATAAACTAGAATAAAATAATAGAATGTGATTAAAGACATTGTCTATACCCTTCCTTTGAGATGCGATGCAATTAAGGAAGATTTGCTTCACTGAGGAAGTGGGATTTGAATTAGACCTTAAAAAAATAAGTGGACTGAAAAAAATGTGAAATTAGAAGAGATTTAACAATTAATTTATCTCACTTCCTTAAATTTTCTTTGTATGAAGACATACATAACCTATTCAATTTTGCTTTGTCAAATAATCCATAAATACATAAAGTATATGTGATTAACAATGCTTTTAATGCCCAAAGACATCTTATTTTCTTAATCCAAAGCTCACTTTATGTAATTATTCTTTTTGCAAACTACTAGTTGGTTATATTAACACTTGAGTAATCTTGACAAGAAGTTGCTTTAAGCAGTTAAAGATCCAGATGCTGATCAGCATGCATTAAGTGATTCAGCTTAATTGGTTTCATCTAGATAAATTACTTACCTCAGTTCCTATCACAATTTCTTCCCTGGTAGAGTAGAATAGAAACTCATATAGCTTGTAGTGTTGAAATAAGCTGAAATACAAAATAAATGTGCAACTCTGATAAGCTTATGTTGGGAAAGAAAACAAATATGTAAGAGTATTTATTAAAGGAAAGTTGTTCATAATGATCAAACGAAAAACATTAAACACTAATATGGAGTTAGCTGCATCTTTTATTCCAAATGAATTGTCCAGAAATGGTGAGAAACTAATGATTTACTCTTTTGAGACATTGACAGTATAACACAGTACATAATATAAGATCAGTAAATTAATCTGTGATGTGTGGAGAGGTTTGGGATAAGGGAGCAATTAGACTACATTTTGACTTTTCTTGGTTGACAATCAAATAAGGCACTGCCCCTAAATAACATTAAATTTCACATTATTTTTCATGTTTTGCTTCAAACCGGAGTCAATTTCCTCTGGAATGAATGGCATTGAATTCTATAATCTACTTCCATATCAATTACTTCTCATGTTCTCAAACTGTTTCAAGATTAAATTAATCTCTGATAACACCTGAAAATGATGCAACGTGAACTGAAATCCATTTAGAAGGTATCTGGTTTTCTTGTAGAATATTTGATCACAGGTCAAATACAGGAATTAATTTAAGAAAGATAATTCTTCAGTTTCTACCCAAATATTAGGTGGTCAGTGTATAAGAACTGTGAAGAGCTAAAGGATAGGAGTCTTAAAACAAGTTTTTCTAGTAAGTTTAAAGATTTCAGTGAAGTATTATTGAGAGTTAAAAATTTACTGAAGGGCTGATTTCTAATATCCTGTTTGTGGTAATATTTGGATTTTTCTAATTCTCTTCCTGCTGGTTGGGAAAATTAATAGACTCATAATACAGCAAAATGCCCAAGAACAAAAAAATTGTCTTAGTGGTTTCTCTTTCACTCTGGTGCCTTTTGCTATTTAAGAAAATTGATTTTAATATAACTGAGAAATTAACATTTGCAAAATGTAGCTACAGAGCATGTATAATAATGGCTTCTCCTGAACGCTGTAATGGATCAAAGTTTCAATTCATTTGAAATCAATGAAGAAATCCTCAGGCAGCTGGGTCTCTCTGAGTTTTATCAGCAGTTGATTTCACTACTAACACAATCCATTAAAAAGTGATGTGTATGCAGACTTCAGTCATGGGTTTTTAAATTTTTTTGGAAAAAAAACCCTCGTATATTCAAATTAGTCATCAACACTCAGAAAACTAACTTAGCTTTTGACATTAGCTTGATTTGTTGGCTAGAAAATACATCAAGATTAGTGAAGTTTGATGATTCAATGAAGCAAAATAAATTCAAATTCTCCTTCCCTTACATTGCTTACCTAGAGAGAGCTTTAAGGTTAAAAATATTAGACTGGCAATAACTGATTTTGAGTAGAAAAATTGAAGCCTGTAGAGTATTTGGAAATAACGACTTCCTTTCAGTGAATTAGTATAAAATTTTCCTTCCATCTCATGTTACACAAATAAGTTAATTCATAAATCTTCCTTCCTGCAATGTTATAATCTTTCAGCCTTATTCTCCTCATTGCATATAGGAATTAGATTGTCTCATGCCAAAAGGAAAATTTACTTCTTGCAATGAAAATAAAATTCATGACTTGGATGCAGTGGTCAAAGATACAAGTTGGGGCAAGGCCAGGACTAGTGTAAGACAGATGGGGGGAGTAGGACACCTACGGAGGAGGCACTTTTCAGGGCTAGGATAAGTTGCCTCCATTGTCTCACTCTGGTCCCCATATTGGTTGAGGTTCTCTAACTTTATCAAGGAACTATTCAATGACTTCCTATGGGAACAAAGTGACACCTCTGCTATGGGAATACATTTCCTCTCTCTTCCTTTAGAAGGAAGACTTCCAGCTGACTCAAACCCCTAGACTATTTTGTTAAACATCTCGTCTTAGTTCTAAATCAAAGGAAGAAATAAAATGGGTCAAGACATCTGGGCTCTGTGCCAGGAAGTAGGATACCCTGTTGTGCACAGAGGGGCAGTGTTGATTTTCTTATATTGAGAAATGCCTGTGCACATTACCTTTACCTAATTCCCAATGAATGGGTAGAATACACAATGACAGAAGTGTACTTGGACCACATATATCTAAATGATGTCTTATATTGACAAGCTGCAGTAGCGTTTATATTTGTATATATTACATAAAACATATCAATGTATATATTACATGAGTTGATTGGTCAGACCTACAATAACATTAGAGAGGAATTTTGGTATTAGTTTTTTTCAAATCACAGACACATGATGGAATATGCAATTTAGATTCTATTAACAGTATCAAATAAAATTTCAATTTTATTGCCAGTTAAGTTTCATGTTCTATAGGTCATGTTCTAAAAACTACTCTAAGTTGATGAGAGTTTCACTGGTTGAGTAAATTTAATATCAGATTAAATTGAAACATGCTTATACTTTCAATAATTGAGTTAGCTTCATATTTAAAAAACTTCTTTGTAGTCATTAAAATGAAAAATATTATATGGTTTAACTGCCATTAAATTTATATTTGTGGACCTATGAGTCATTCTAAATAGGAATTGTAGAAAATGACATTTGTCTTTACACAACTTCAGTATTGATTCTAGATATCATACTAACTGATATTTTATTTTTTTGTAACAGATGCACTTAAAATGTACAATTTCTTTAAATCACAATACGAAGATTTAATGGCATCAAAAATAGTTCTGATTTACTTTACATGACTATCTCTCAAATACTACTTTTTGTTGTTGCTTTTAGAAATGAGGCTAGAAATTTTTGGTAACTAAAATTATCCTGGTAAGCATTTAATGGTGACTAATACTGACATCCTTTCCTAACTTAACCACTTTCTGAAATGAAATGTCAAGAATTCACTGATGAGTGTTTGTCCAGAGAGACAAGACGAAAGAGAAAAGAGGTGTCATCTTTCACCATCTAGAAGGTATCTTTAGGACATCTGCATGGGTTTAGCTGTTATGGTTAACTATCAGTCCCAGTGCCCACTATAAACCTCTGAGATTTAGAGCTCAGATGTAATAATGTGTTCTTCAAAGAGAGACCTGGTGGTCTCAAATAGATAAAGGAGAGAAAGAAGGATGCTATATAAATGTGCAGAGAATTCCCCTCAGCCACTGATTCTATTGGGCAGAAAGACCTCAGAGAACAGATTCTCCAGTTCTGAATTTCCACTCCCTTCCTTCCTCCCACACAAGGACCTTGCTTTACTCTAATTGATATAAAGAGTACTGTAGCTTTTAGTGACAGACATGCATTAGGAAGTATATGTTTTATGCTAAGAAATTAGGTTATATCAGGTGTTATTATATAAAAAACATATTATATCAATACTATTATTAATTCTTGCCAGAAACCAGTATATAAGCATTATCAAATTAAACATATTAATATTTAAAAAGCTTCCAGACAACAGCCAGGATCTTTGCCAAACAAATGATGAGCATGTCTAGGACATCATGCAGCATGCTTTATTTTTAAAATTTAAAATTGGAAAACACTGCAGTATATAGTAATGGAGGAAAAGAGATATTCTGTACAAGCTTTTAGTTAGGCAAAAGAAAGATTTTACCAACTCTTATTTAAATATTTGTAAACTCTAAAAATGTCCCTTGGGAGAGGTGCATGATTGTAATGCAGACCTTGTGACAGATTATATAAAAGGATTTCTTAGTTCACCAATGAAGAATCACTGTAATAAAAACACTTTCCCTCCATTCACTGTCATTTTCTAAGCATAAAGAAAAACTTGATGAATTTAATTGGTCAATACTACAAAATATTTCAGGGCACATAATAAACCTAAGGAAATTTGCACATAAATCTCTTTAATTTCTAATACAAAACATCTAAAATAAATGTTTAAATGGAAATGAATGTTATTCTAAAATGTGAAATTTTGATGCCAAGGCCAACTACTAAAATATAGTCTATTGTAATTAAGTCTGATTAATCTAAAAGAATAATTTTGTTAATAAAGTGATATTAATTAGAAATTCAGAGAAAAAAAGAAATTTCTGGATAATCTATTATAATTTCAGATGAAATTATACTTATCAAATACAAACCTTTTTTTAAGAATGGGAGGCTAGCCAAAATCTCAATGTCCTGAACTTTACTTGTTGGATGAAAGATTTTAATATTATGTCATTATTGAATGGGTTAATTACAGCATAAATTCTGTAAATATCGAAAAACTGAATTCATTTTTATTTAATAGACATTTTGTAAAAGATAATGAAATGAAAAAATACATGCTACTGAAAGAAAATCCATACCTGATTTTTAAGTAATCGATGACAGCATTGGCTTGTTTTGTATTAAAGACATTCCATTCCTCATTTTTCTGTGAATGTGATGGTCCTGTTTCAGCCATAACTTCTCCAAGCCATTTTATGCTGTCTTCCAAAGACATGTGCAGTGCTAAAATAAGATCCAGGGAAGTCTTAAGCATTATTTTGATAGATGTTTTGGGAAAAAAATAATCCAAGATGTCCTTAGTGAGCAAATATTTACTTTTTCAATATTTGTGTGGACAATGGTAATAGCAATGTTTTTTTAATGACAGGTTAATAATTACATTTTGTGTAAAAGAATAGCAGCTGATACACCCAACAATATAATGCAACACAATTGTCTAAAGACTTTGTTTCCATTTTAAGATGCAAAGGTAAGTTAAAATCTACCCAAAAATTACTTTAAAATAGAAAATATGCTTTTTAATGATCTTAGAATAAGAGTATATATGGAAATGAAACAAAAGTTGTTTGGATTAGCTGGTGAGGAAGACCTACATAGTAGGTTCGGTTACTGTAGACAGGAGAGCTGATCAGAACTGAAAATGTAAATGAACAGAGTCAACCAACACTTGGCTTTGACTGATTGTTAACATGTGGGAATTTGGGACTGAAGATTTTCAATAGATGCCAGAAATATGTATTTTTATGTAAAACATCAAGATATTTTTTTCTTTTCCAAGCTACAGACTTATAACTTATGTCAGCTGTTTCTCAAATGTATGCCTGGTGCTGGTAGTGGGAGCCAGATGACAGCGCCGGGTGACGCTGACACCACTTCGCCGCCATTACCAAAAATAAACAAGTCAGTGATTGTGGTCTCTTCTCTTGCAACTAAAAACAAACAAAAAAGCAAAAGTATCTTGTATGGCATGTGTCCAGTTGAAAAAAAAAGTAGATAAATGTCAAAAACTTTAGACTTAACATTTAGAGTGTCTATGATACAAATAGGAACTTCCATCTTCTTTTCCTGTTTAGTTATGCTCATTTTTACTTGTGGCAGGCAAAATACTATTACATCACACACACACACACACACACACACACACACTGACAAGTGACGAGTGTAGATGTCAAACTGAAGAGTTTGGAGGTGGAGAACTGAAAGTCTCTAGCAAAGGTGAGTTTGGACCAGCTTCCTGGGGGAGGTGTCAGCTGGGGGCTTGGAGGAAGGCTCCAGGGAACACTGAGCTGTTCCATGTAAGCTCCTCCCTCCAGGTCAGTCCCAACCAAACTTCTGTGTCTCTCAGGAAACCAGTGCAGTTAGCACTTCTCGCTAACCAAGTGAATTTTTCAGGGCAGCAAGAGGGGGTAATGCACAGGATTTATGAGAACATAAGCTGATTGTTGGACATAGCCACTTCCGGTTACACAGCTATCCTTTCACTTTGGGATGTGTTATGACCCCAGGTTACTGATAAAATGATAGTAAAGCAATTAAAAATTTTAGGAAACACTATCATCACAACTTGCAATTTGTTTCATCTAGATTCCTATTTGTAGGAATTAGAATGAAACAAACTACGTTAACAATTAAAAACTGGTTTAATGAATGGCAATTTGTCCCTCTCTCATAGCCTCCCTCCAGATCATCCTTTATATATGTCAGATACACAAATTATTGCTGGATAACTGAGCTTTCCTATATCATTCTAAGGGGAGCTCAATTATTATTGTACACTTTTTTCCCTATGATCAGCTTCTTTTGAAACTTTCTTGGGATAACTTCAGAAATGAAATATCTACTGGATAAAAGCAATTAAAAAATGAATGGATTAAAAATCTGAATCATTTTATTACTAAAATGGTATTAATTAGAGATGCAGAGAAAAAAGAAATTCTTAGATAATTGATTATAATTCCAGATGTAATTATACTTATTAAGCACAAAAATACACTTATATGACTATTTCCTTAAGTTGAAATATAATTGACACTTTAAAACTGTTTTTCTATGTCTAAAGTCTTTCTATATATAATGGCTTTAAAAATTAAGAAAGTTATCATTTCACTTATCTAACTGAAATATTTGCTTTTAAAAACCACATTTAGTGATGTGATTAAAATGTGAAAGATTAAACCTTTTAAATAGTAAGTTCTGTTAGAAATAAAATTTATCTTCAAAAATTTACAGTAATGAAAGAGCATGCTAGTCATAATTGGTTGGAAGACTTAAGATGGTACCTTATAACTGCTAACTACCCCTCACTTACTAGCTAGGTGAGCTGAGTTTCATTTTCTGTATCTATAAATGTAGAATAAGACCAATTTTCAAAATTATAGTGCTATTGTGAGGATCAAATAAGACATGCATGCCAAATACTTGGGAAACTGAAATGCTATGTACACTAGTATATTACGTATGTATAGTGTTTTCTAGAATTAGCATAAAGTTGGCAACATTTGATATAGTAGTAGGAAGGGTGAGTTTCTCACTCACAGCGGCTGATGCTTGTGACTTCAAAGAGTTATTTAATCTTTCTAAATCTCATTTACTTTTTTTAAAATTTTTTAAATGGAGAGAATAATAGAACTATTTCAAGGTTGTGTGTGAATTAAATGAGACAGAATTTGGAAAGCAAATGCACGGTAACTGGTGCAAGTTAATCCTACCCAAATGTTACCTATTATTATCATTCTTAATCAGGGGGAAACAATTCAATTTCATAGAACTAAAAAGTATCCTATGGTTATTTGCTAATATTCGTGTTACATATAATGGAATAAATCTAAGCCTATGGACCTGGACAGAGGTCAAATAATCTAATACTTGACAGCTTTGTTCTTGGTCAGGCTCTAGAAAAACTAAATCTAAAAATGTATACTGGTTTTTTGTTAGTTAGTTTGTTTGAAGATTTATTTATATATTTATTTGAGAGAGATGGATTGAGAGAGAGAACAGGAGCAGGAGGGGCAGAGGGAAACAGAAAGAGAATCTTCAAGCAGACTTCATGCTGAGCACGGAGCCGGACTTGGGGCTTGGTCTCAGGATAATGAGATCAGGACCTAAGTGGAAACCAAGAGTTGGATGCTCAAACGACTATGCCACACAGGCTCCCCAAAATGTGTATTAGTGAGAGAACTGTATATATCCCATGTTGCATAATCTTTTAGCTTGATTCACTCTGATTCTAGGTGGGTTGTCTGCAGTATGCCTTGTAGCACAAGCTTGAGACAAGGAACAGATCAGAAACTGAATCAGTAGAAACAGATCAGAAACTGAATCAGTAGAAAATGCAGTTCCTCACTGGAGTTTTATTAATGGACAACCATGCTACAACTAACAGCCCCAACTATGTTCTCTGTAGCTTTTTCTATTAAAATGTTGCTGGATGGGAATGTTCACTGTGGGCTCAGGACTCTACCACCTTTTAGTTTAAGTATAAACAGACTTAAAAAAAAAAAAAAAAGTATAAACAGACTTTTCCTCTTTCTCTGGCATGCTTGGCTAAAATTATATTCTTTTCTCATGATAGTTATAACCTTGTTAGGTTTAAAAGTTTGAGAGGATTTTTTTTTTTCCTTTCTAAAGGAAAAACTAGATCCCTGACTTTTTTTTCCTGCTTGAGTTTTATATGTGCACTTTCACTCTCTCCTAGTTTATGAGTAAATGGATGGATCCTGCTCAAGTTTTTAAAATTCATTTTTGAACTGATATCAACAATATAAAATTTCACCTAAAAGAAATATTTTTTTTTCTTTTTTTTTTTTTAAAGAGAGAGAGAGCGAGCACAGGCAGACAGAGTGGCAGGCAGAGGCAGAGGGAGAAGCAGGCTCCCCACAGAACAAGGATCCCAATGTGGGACTCGATCCCAGGACGCTGGGATCATGACCTGAGCCGAAGGCAGCTGCTTAACCAACTGAGCCACCCAGGCGTCCCCTAAAAGAAATATTTTGAGTCAGTTGTAAGTTATGGAAAAAATTTAAAATGGAAATATCTTGTCAAATTTAGAATGTGAGATTCATGAAAATGTTTTACTTTTCTTTATTCTGTTTCTAGTTTGTGAATACTCAGCTTAAAGTTTGCAAACCATAGGACTGTTCACATCATATATTCTTTTTTACAATTTAATTTTTGCATAGGTGATACATTCACATGGTTCAAAAACCATATGTGAAATACATTGTAAAAAGGCTTCCTTAACCTTTGTCACACACATGCTCAGTTCCCACACCCTTCCCTACAAAAAATTTTTCCCCAGTGTTGTTGAGATATAATTGACATATGTCACTGTGTAAGTTTAAGGCAACACAGTATGATTTATCGTGAGATGGTGGCTGCCATGGCTTTAGCTAATATACATCTCATTTAGATACAATAAAAAGAAAAGAAAGGAAAGAAGATAGAGGGGAAATTTTTTCTTGTGATGAGAACTCTTAGGATTTACTCTCTTAATAACTTTCTTTTATACCACACAGTGGTGCTAACTGTAGTCATCATGTTCATTACATCCTTAGTACTTATTTTGTAACTGGAAGTCTGTAACTTGACCATCTTCCACCTCTGGTAAACACAAGTCTGATCTCCTTTTCTATAGCTTCGGTGTTTTGTTTCTTTGTTTTTTTCGTTTTAAATTCTACATGTATGATTGTACGGTATTTGTCTTTCTTGGTCTGACATTTCATTTTGCATAATGCCTTCAAGTTCCATCCATGTTGTCACAAATGGTAGGAATTTTTTAGTTTTTATGGATGAATATCATTCCATTATTATATATATACCACAACTTCTTTATTTACTCACTCATCAATAGACACTTAGGTTGTTCCCACATCTTGACTATCCTAAATAATGCCAAAATGAGGATGCAGATATCTTTTTGAGTTAGTGTTGTTGTTCCCTTTGGATATATTCCCAGAAGTGGGATTGCCAGGTCATACAGTTGTTCTATTTTTAATTTTTTGAGGAAACTGCATACTGTTTTCCATAGTGGTTGTACCAGTTTACAATCCCACCAACAATACACAAGGCTTCCTTTTTGTTCACATTCATGCCAGCATTTGTCATCTCTTGTTTTCTGATGATGGCCATTCTAACAGTCATGGGGTGGTATTTCACTGTGGTTTGAATCTGCATTTCCATAATGACTACTGATATTTTCATAAACCTGTTAGCCTTCTGAATAT